TAATCCATATGTGAACTCTTATGAGTAATATGCAACGTTGTTTAACATATGTATGTTCAAATGGATTTTTTTCAATAAGTTGCATATAAGCAGTTCATCAACTTTCTTATCTCGTCAAAGACCTTCCAGCCTAGTGGTAAAGGCTTGGGCATGACATAGTCATGAACCCGAGTTCGAGCCTTGGGAGGGGAGTGTTGGCGACATTTAAGTGTGGCCATGTTTAGTCTCCAAATTTACCGGGGATTAGTCGGGCTTTAGCCCGGACACCCTTACAAAAAAAAAAAAAAACTTTCTTATCTCACCTTATCATGATATTTAGTCTTCTTCTTATTTTGAATCGACCCCTATAACGTGTTACGTGTGCATACACATGTGTGTATGTCCCCCTGAGGGCGATGATTTCCCTTCCGACGTGAAATCCCTACACCAACGATAACAAGACAATGATAATTTGCAACAAAAACAATCATTCGTGACTAAAGGTGGAGCAATAAAATGGCAACAATTGCACAGGCGAATGGCAGAAAATGGTGCTAAGGCGATCGACATTAATTACTGAAATGCAAATGTATTTAGTTACTATCTCTTGTAAAAATCGTGATCTCACTTAACGTAATACCAACTAATATCATGTATCGCGTGAGCATACAAGGTAGAGACCAACATGTAACGAGCATATGTAGCATTCTCAACAAAAATGTATATATAACTGTGTTAGACTTCCAATTTCAAATATTTTTTAGTTGTTTAAATATCTGAGTCCCGGTTGCTTGGTGATATACAATGCTTTAATAAGACTTACGTTATGCTTGATTGTATATATTTTTTTAATATTCTTCTAAATACACCTTTTTCATCAACATTATTTTGCAAATAAAAGACTTATGAGAAATCCCATCTCTTCTGTGTTCGATCCCCGACGACTACAATTATTGTGGCCACTAAATTTATCAGAACTGATGTCTTATAATTACAATTTATCGAGATTCATTTAAACATTTCCTGAAACACCCTTAAAAAAACTTGATTATCCCATATAGAGTAATTATTCTCCTTCCCAATTTAAGCTACATCAAACCAAATAATGTTAACTATTATATATATATATATATATAGAGAGAGAGAGAGAGAGAGAGAGAGAGAGAGAGGGGTGAGTTATTATACAACCCTTTACATTTGTACAACCAATACAACTTAATCTCAATCGTCCATTTAGTTTGATGAATATGTGATTTCATAATAGTTTTGATTGTTTCCCAATAAAGTATTAATCATAATTAATGAACATTTGTCATATTCCATAAATATTTAAATCATAATAAATGAAGTCTCATAATTTTCATAAATATCTCAATTGATTGAGTTGTATAAGTAAACATGATTGTATTTGAAATATACTTTATATATATATATATAACCTAGTCTATGGTTTATATGCAATATATGGAAATCCATTAAAAATAAAAAAGTATTGGTAGAAAGAAATGGGAAGCATTAAATACATATAAGCTTTGTCAAAGTAAAAGGACACATAGAAGCTTTGAGAGACAATTATTTGAATTGGAACCATATAATCCTTTCATTAAATTTCATACGTACGTTTAATAGTCATTGCTCACCTAAAAGTGAAAGTTATCTTTCTAGAATACACTTTTGTGCAAACCATCATTTTCATGATTTTCACTTATATTTTTTATTTAATAATATAATTTTTATAACGATAATAATTAAACATTCTGTTGGAACTCAATAATATCTTGATTATATTTTAGGTTTTTTATTTTTAAAATAAATGTTTATGCTGTATTTAATTATGTTTATCTGCAACTAGTTACATGAATTTAAAAATGAAGCCTTAATAAGTTGTATTTATGCAAAATTACTTATAATCTTGAATTTTAAGTAATATGTATCAATAAACAGTACTTCATGTATAAAACATGTGTTATAACAGAATGCTTAATTATTATCTTTATAAAAAAATCATATTATTAAACCAAAATAAATTACTTAGTTATTAAATTATAATAAAAAATTGAATTAAAAAAATCACATCAAGAAAAAAAGAACTATTAAATAGTTAATTTGATATTAATGTTGATTTTATTTTTTTCAAATTTTTATGGTATCTTCAAATTTATTTTTCATTCAAAATAAAAACATTATCGTTTTCTCAAAACCACATAAAATCGTATTATATCGATAGAGATAAATAATAAAAATTAAACATTAAGATAGAGATTTATCTCGCTGCATTGGACAGATACTCTTCTAATATATGATATAACATATATTATATAAACATAACAAATTATTGAAGATTTTAATATTAATTATATTATAAAACTATTTGATATATTTTTATATCCTAATAAACTGAGTTAATCTATACTATATTATAAAACATTTGACAAAAACTTTTAAAAACCATTTTTTATGCATAAAGTACTGTATATTAATGCATATTACTTAAAATTGAAGATTTCAAGTAATTTTGCAGAAGTACAACTTATTAAAACTGCATTTTTAAATTCGTGTAACTAACTGCAGATAAACATAATCAAATACGGGATAAACATTCATTTTGAAAATATAAAATCTAAAATATAATTAAAATAATCATTGAGTTCTTACAAAATGTTTAATTATTATTTTTATTAAAAAATTATACTATTAAATCAAAAATAAGTTACTATGTTATTAAATCTAAATCTATACTATATTATAAAGCATTTGACAAAAACTCTTAAAAACCATTTTCATGCATGAAGTACTGTTTATTTATGCATATTACTTAATATGCAAGATTACAAGTAATTTTGCGTAAGTACATCTTATTAAACCTAATTTTTAAATTTATATTACTAATTGTAGATAAACATAATTAAATACATGATAAACATCCATTTTAAATATAAAAAATCTAGAATATAATTAAGATGATCATTGAGTTCTGACAGAATGTTTAATTATTATTTTTATAAAAAATATACTATTAAATAAAAAATAAATTACTTTGTTATTAAATCTAAATTAAATTATAATAAAAATTTGAATTAAAAAAGTTACACCGAGAAAAAACGAGAACTATTATATAGTTAATTTGATACTAATATCGATTTATGTTTTTATAAATTTTATTTTATCTTCAAATTTATATTTCATTCAAAAATAAAAACATTATCGTTTTCTGAAAACCACATAAAATCGTATTATATCGAAAAAGACAGAATAAAAATAAACATTAAAATCGAAATTTATTTCGCTGTATTGTACGAGTACCCTTATAGATTAATATAAACTGATAATCAATTTAACTTTATGGGTAAAAAAGTTAAAAATTACATTTCTATTTATTTACAATAAATTTTGGAAATTCTATAAATTTGGAAAGTAATCTTTTGTTTCCTAGTTTCTTTCATTTTCGTTATTTTTAGAACATTTATTGGTGATCGTCTAAAAATAGTAAAAAATATTAATTAAGAAAAAAGTTTTTTACAACTAAAATAATAAAAAAAATTGACAGATCTGTGCATAAGTACGACTTATTAAGCTTCATATTTGAATTCGTGTAACTAAATGTAGATAAATATAATCAAATACATGATAAAATTCTCATTTTAAATATATCTAAAATATAGTTAGGATAATTGTTGAGTTATATCTTTATAAAGTTATATTAATTTTAATGACATCTTCAAATTTATATTTTATTAAAAAAAACATTATTCCTTGCTCAAAACCACATAAATCTGTATTATAACATTGACATAGACCAAAAAAATAAAATGAAACATTGAAATTAAAATATATCTCGCTGTATTACGTGAGTAACCTTCTAGTATAATCTAATAACAATGATGTTATCATATACATATCCGGGTCTGTTTGGCTAATGCTGAAGAATGAAAATAAAAATGACAAAGTATAAAAACGAGAATGAATTTTCGTTCCCCACAATTTAAACATAAATGAAATTTTGGGTTTCTGGAGGAATGAACTCGTTATATTATATAAAATCAAACAGTTTCATTTATTTTCATTTCTATTGATTATTGTTTAATACCTCTAACCAAGCACCCCATCAGATTTGATCATGTAAACAAACAAATAATAGTTTTAAAATTACATTACTACTAAAAATATTTTAGAAAGGCTAATAATTTATTTTATTATTTATTAAAGTATATAAAAATAAAACGTTGCATTTTGTTTTAAAGAATATATAAAATATATTTGGATAAAAAATTGATTACCGACAACTTCAAACGATTCCTAGCAGAACCCGACTCCAAGAACATTGAGATGAGTCCCTTAAGATAGCTAATAGACATTTTCAGTCCCTTGATTTATAATTTTTTATCATTTTAAGGAGTTTTTTAAACCTTGGATTTCAAAACAAACCAACTACCCTTTTCTCACACAATAGTCATACAATTATTTATGTGTATTTATTTACATTTTATTCAATAATTTTCAACATAACATCTCATATACTTTACAAGATAAAGGTCTTCAAGATTTCTTTTGTTTGTGTTTTTTCTTACATAATTTTGAGTAAATTATGTTTTTAAACCTTAGAACATCTCAAACAGATATGCTATATTTTCCCTCTTTTTTTCTAAATTTGAAAATTTCTCCATTTTCCCCCTCTATTTTAAAGCAGACTTTAACATCACAGTTGGATCAAACTTTTTTCAAATCTTCAGAATTTCTAAAATAACATAGTTGTTAGAGATGATCTTGAAAGAAATCAATACATGTGACATTAACAAATATTGGGTTTAATATTTTGAATCACAAAATATGGGACTGAAATTGTCAATTAACAAAACCTGAGGGACTATTTATGTAACTTAGTCCAACTTAAATAATTAAAAAATCAAGGGATGGGCCTCTCCTACAAGATAACCCTCCCTCTTTACTTCATCTCCAAAAATAAAATAAAAAAAATAATAAATAAATAATATTATCTCTCTCTCTCTATGTGTGATGTGGTATTTGATCATAAATTATTCTAGAAAAACACTCTGATCTATAAAGAACCAGAGACCCATCTTCCCTCAATTTCTCACCCCAATCTCCATAACCCTTTTAAACGTGTTTCTTTCCTTTTCAATTCTTCAACTTTTTCTGAATCATATCCATAAACACTTATCAATGGAGGTCGAATACCAAGAGGTTTGCGCTCTCTCTCTCTCTCTCTCTCTCTATATATATATATATATATATCTCCTCTCAATATATACATACATATATATATATATGTATGTATGTATGTATATGTACACATTCATCTTGATTTGCTTCGTCCATCCCCTAAATTCGAAATGTTGAGTAATGGGTGTCATGAATTGGGTACAACAATGGAAGCTTTTTAAGTAATGGGTTTTATGAATTCAAATATTTTATTAATGGGTTTCATAATAAAAAAGCAAATCTTTAGAAATGCGTTCAATGAATTTGGCAGATGAATGTTGGTAATTTGGGAGTGTGTTAGTGTTGATGAAGTAGTGATCCTTTTTGGTTCCAGTACCTTGTCGGTCATCACATGTGAATAGAACTTGGTTTTCTGAACAATGTTGCCATAAATATTTTATCTTTGGGTTCCGTAAATTTGGCATAGAATTTATAAAATCTCAGTGGTTGGTTCTGGTTCTGGTTCTGGTTTGATGAATTCGAGTTTCAGGAGTATATAAGGAATTCAAGAGGGGTGCAGCTCTTCACTTGCAAATGGCTACCTGTCTCTCCACCAAAAGCCCTTGTTTTCCTCTGCCATGGTACTCTCTTTCTTTCTCAAAATAACACCATAATAAACAAATGAAAAATACCCTGATAACTATTCCTTTGTCCAAAAAATATACATACATATATATATATATATATATATAAATAATTTCTCATGTATAGAAACTATAAAACATTTTTAGTTACTTTTATCTTTTATATGTATATATATATATATATATATGTATATGTATGTATGCGTACATATCGGACAAATAAATGGTTTTTTTACGAGATTGAAGATAAATGAAACAAATAAGGTTAATTTTTGCAGGTTATGGTATGGAATGCAGCGACTTCATGAAAGGTACCGAAATCAAGTCTTGTTTGCATTTATGTTGTTATTTTGATTTTTTTGGAAATGTGTCCTTAACTAATGCCGGTAAATTGTGACTGCAAAAAATCAGTTCTGATAAATTCAACGATAATAGTTGTTATATACATTTAAAATCAAACAATGAACAGATGAGATTTTACAACGCTTCAAGTATTACTCGACAATCCTTTGGGTTTGTTGTTCCAATTGATGTTCTTAATCCCTGTTTCACGTGAATATATAATAAATAAATATAAAAAACAGGTAGAATTGCTTTTTAGAATTATTTAAGAAATAAAAATTCTAAAACCCATGCGTCTCAGAATGTTGACTTTCTTTTCATTTTGACTTTTTCCTTTTATTATTATCTTTACGGATTTTATATAATTTCTATAAAATAAATACTAAAAAATTAAAAAGAGTTACATTCAATTAAATAGATTATCTATTTTAAAATTTTAAATATTCTTATTTAAAATATCTTCAATTTTATTATTTCTATATATATAAAAACTTTATATTTATTAACAATAATTCAATTTCATGGTGGAAAACATAAATAACTTATTTCTCTTCATCTGTATTTTTATTAAGCCATAAGAGTGGTATTTGATTGGTTTAAGATTGAGTTTTAAAGATCAAAAGTGTTTGAAGTTTCCAAGTTCGAATCTAATGAGGAATAAAAATCTCCAGTGGCCACAGAGGTTCAATTGCAGTGACTCTGAGCTACTCTCGAAACGGATGGTCGTCCTAGGATTAGATTAATAAAAAAATATTTTTATTATAATTCAATTAAAATATGTAGAATGACAAAATTAAAGAGTTAATTTAACTCTTTTTTGGTAATTGATGTATTAAATTAAAATCAGTTTATTAAATTAAATAGTAATTAAAATTATATTATCAGTACAATAATTTGTGGAAGGGTAAATTGCATGAAAAAATAACGTACTTTAACTTGATTAATTTTAAATTTTCTATTTTGGTATCCGGTTAACCGATTGAAGCCTAATTTTAGATAAAAAAAAATTCATGTCATTAACCACATCAGCAAATAATACTGAGTTGAATACCACATCACTCACCACATTAGCATGATAAACCGGTTAATGTTTCAACCGATTATATGAGTATTTAAATGTTTAAAACTTTACATCTTATATATCAAAATAAGAGTTTTGAAAATACGTTACCTAAAATAAGAATTAATTAATTAAAATACATTACTTTTGATGTAATTTGTCGGAAATAATATAACTTTTTAGTGGATCTATGATTAATGCGAATCTTTAATTAACAATTTAATGCTTATGATATATTTTAATGAAAGATAATTTATGAATTTTATTTCATCTTAAAAAATGCATTTTAATAATTGTTGGTAGTTAAACAAATAAATAAATATAAATAAATTCATTATTATTGTATTTTTATTTTTTCTATAATATTAGAAAACGATTTATAGATATATTATTGGAAAAAATATTTATCGGAACATCAAAATGTGTTATTTTTAACATTTATAATGAACCCATTAAAGACCTATAAATTCTCATAAAACCTGTTAAGATGCGTCAGTTTCATACCATTTAAAGTCTGTCAACTTAGATCTTAAATATAGCGACTTGTACTTCTTTAGGTTCGCCTACGAGTGTAAATGGGTCGGGTCGAGTCAAGTAACAGGTTGTTCGAACTCGACTCGACACGGTCGACCTTTAACACGTTAAATGTGGGATTTTGAACAGGGATTTTGAGGCCCAATTTTTACATGTGTTTAGGGTATTTGATCAACCCGTGTAAAACTATAGCTGGAAGTGTTAAAATATTGGTAACCCATATTTTATTTTAATTCAAAAGATAAAATGTAAGATGTTTATAGATAATTCTTTAACAAAATGCATAATTATGAAAAGGGAATAAATGGAGTTAAGTTTGGTTGGTTGAAGTAGGTCATCAAACAAGTAATGTAAGAGTAATTGCAAGAGGTAGAAAATTATGTGATGTGGGTCCTACATGTATTATGGTTACCAAACACCTCTCTTATATTATCACCAACCCCACCCCACTTCTTGTTCAACATCTTTTTGATATGGGAGTTGTTAAGTTTTCATTTATTTATGTTAAAATCAGGTCAAGTTATGTATTAAAAATGTAAAAAATAAAATTTGATGTTGATGTATGTGGGATGAAAATTAGTAGATAGATATGGATTTAGGCAGAGGCTAAATACACTCTTATATGTTGCTAAATGCATCCCTATCTATTATTTTTCTCTTCACACACGCCTTAACAACAAGACTTACTTTTTACATTTTTAATGCATTATTTGATTTGATTCTCACATATAATGGGTGTATAATAATAGCATTACCATTTAGACAACCCCTTTGATTAAAAATTAACAATTATTTTTTTATTCAAATACAAAAAAATCTTTGTAGTTTGTAGAGTAAATTACGGATTTGGTCCTTGTGGTATGCTAGTTTTTACAGAATTGGACTCTAGACTTCATTTATTACGTAGATTACTTTGTGGTATTCATTATTTATACGGATTTGGTCCTTCGACTAAATGGCTGTCCAACAGGCTCGTTAGACTGGAGGACAAAATGGTCATTTTACCAATTAACAAATCTAATTTATTTTAGTTACAACAAAATTTTGAATGAAAAATGATTGTTAAAACAAATGATTTCCAAATTCTCAAATAAAATTTTGAATGTTATTTAAATTTACGAAACGTTTTAAAATTGTACATATAGGGTGTGGGACGAAGCTGGCAAGCTACGGGTACGCGGTATTTGGAATAGACTATGAAGGGCACGGACGGTCCATGGGTGCACGTTGTTACATCAAGAAATTCGATCACATTGTTGCGGATTGCTCCAATTACTTCAAATACATTTCTGGTACACATCCACAAAAGTCCATGCATTAAAAATGAGAACATATCGAACCGCTAACTTGTTTTTTGGCTCGAACCACTCAGGGCAAGAAGACTACAAGAACAAGAGACGGTTCTTGTATGGCGAGTCCATGGGTGGTGCAGTTTCTCTTCTGGTTCATAGAAAGGATCCAACTTTTTGGCATGGCGCCATTCTGGTCGCACCCATGTGTAAGGTAATTAACGTTTGACCTTAGAACATCTCCAACAAATTCTTTTGTAAAATGAAGAAAATAGAGAATTTGAAAATCTTGTCATATTTTTTTTTCCTCCAACAGATTCTCTAAAAGTTTCTTCAAAAACGAAGAAATTAGGAGATTGAGTCTAAGGCTTATTATTGTATGGTAAACTAGCTGATAAGCTAACTGTTGGCTAATAAGTTATATGTTAACTGTTGAAGATGCTATAATGTCACCGGAAAATAGCTTCTGGGGGGGGGACATTATGCGAGGAGGTAAGGTTGACTTTCAAAAAGTGCGATAAGGACTAAATCACATGTAATTCTAGAGCAAAATCACATGCGATACAGCCTAGAAGGTCGTGTGAAAACTCGCATGTGCAAAGGTTGGTCAGCTCGACGTGTGTCGCATGTGATTTTACTCTAAAATCACATGTTATTTGGTGCTAATCGAAGTAGGTATCAGCAAAAGAACAATAGTAACCCTTTTCACTGTATATAAGAAGGCTTTTTAGAAGGTGCGGGAGGCCAACATTGGCTCCGCATATGGTTGTACGGTACAAGTTCTTGAAGCATATTTGCTGTCGATTCTGATAGATATCGGAGAAGGTGAAGCCTCACCCGATGGTGATAAGTATGCTAACAAGGGTAGAAGATGTAATACCCAGATGGAAGATTGTGCCTACAAAGGATGTTATTGATTCTGCATTTAAGGATCCTATTAAGAGAGAAGAGGTAAGGTTGATTTTCGCTATTGGTGAATTTGTAATCGGACAAGGGTAAATACGTAAATTCACCACGACCTGAACATCTGTGCAGATACGCTCAAACAAGTTGATATATCAAGAAAAGCCAAGGCTTAAAACGGCTCTTGAAATGCTTAGGACTAGCATGGGTCTCGAAGACAGCTTAAGCGAGGTTATTTTTTACCTTTTTACCCTCTATGTGATGACTATCATTTTTTTTACGTTTTTTCAAGTGTTTGTTTTTTTTGAAATACATAATAATAATAAATAGACAGTAAATACTCACGTACACTCCTCACATTTGGTAAGGTTTGAATCATTGACCTCTTTGAATCCGTGACCTCTTTGGGCAGGTCACGTTACCATTTTTCGTGCTACATGGAGAGGCGGATACCGTGACGGATCCAGAAGTGAGTCGGGCTCTATACGAACAAGCCAGCAGCAAAGACAAAACCATAAAACTATACCCCGGAATGTGGCATGGGTTGACCTCCGGTGAGCCCGATCAGAACATCGATATCGTGTTTTCCGACATCATTTCATGGCTGGACAAGCGATGCGATGACGATTATATCACCGACAGTAGTGGTGCAGCTACTGTTATTGATGATATAGAGTTGGTACCTTCCCCTATGGTAGAAATAAGTAAAAAGAAACTCCGGCAGAGTGGCAGCTATCTTTGTGGGTGGAAGGGACGGCGGATGCACCACCACTCCGCCATGTAGCCACCACTGCCGTCCAACTCTTTTTGCCATCAGAGTTTAAGACAACTCTATGATTACTAATGTAATGGGACATATATAGTTTCTGTGGAAGTTAATATTTACAATCATGGATCCCTTATTCACAATGGAGCTTTTTTGAGGTTCATTTGCTCAAATGCTTATGTGTAGATGATTACTAACCGGTAGGAGTCAACATTCTCACTTACTTTATCGGGTAAGATTCTACTCCATCAAAACGGCATTGTATGCAGTAATTCATCTGGCAAGTACTAACTGGATAAGAGTTGTCCACCTTACTTACTAGATAACACTCTCGATCCTTGCCATCACTCTTACCGGGTAAATTTTTTGATCTTTGTCATGTTTATTAGGTAAAGTAAATGATCTAGTAAGCGTTTACCGGGTGTCACTCACCTTTGGGATGAGCATGCTAAAGACCAAGAATCTTATACCGTAAAAGACATAGCAAGAACTGAAAATCTTAACCGGTAAGTGTTTACTGGGTAAAAGATGCTTTTCAACAATCTATTTTAATAGCCGAGAATTTATCAGCTCAAATAAATGAGAATAATGCTTTTACCAGTAAACGCTTACTTGATAAAGATTCGGTCAACGCAACTAAAATCGTGAAAACGTTTATAGCATCCAGTTTTATCAAGAAAAGTGGGACCCACAAAATCTTGTTATTATGCTGATGAGTAGCATTCTTTTAGGATGGTAATAAGCTTCCAATACCCTTGGATTGGAGTTTGTGACTTGTAACGTGTAAGAACCAACTTCTAGTATTTTGTTTTTGTCGTATCATTGTCAATTCACCAAATTAAAGACCTTTATAAAAACTTTACAATGAATTAGACAGAATTCGTTGTCTCACGACATAAATCAAGATAACAACTACAGAAACTGGATCACACCAAACAACAGACAACTTGTCACGTCGAGTCCGATACATACAAGAACTTTTTTATGGTCATGTTTTACTTTTTTCACCATTAACTTTTATTATGTCCTTTTAGATCAATTAAAAAATTAATAAAATCAACACAGTGCGAGGGAGTCAAATAGCATGTTTAAGACTTGTTATCTTGAATAAGCAGAACTTCCTTAAATCCATGACAAACTTAGAAGGAAACCAAAGGGAAGTTAGAAGTCATGATCACAAAATCAAGCATTTTAACAAAATACAACCATATGCTACTGGACCGGTCACAATATTTCCCTTACAAACTCGACATTCCATCCATAAACTCGACGCCAGATCGACAAAATCCTGAAACAGGCAAAGGACATTTAGTTAAAACACATTGTATATATAATGAAAAAACACAACAAAGATGCAATAAATTAATGAATGCTGATTGGGTATCTCTTAATGTCATTTTGACTTTTCCATTTAGGGTTACAATTTTTGTGACCATAAGAAATGGCGCCTCGACTACTTGCCCTAATCACTCATAATTCTATTTATTCTATGTGGGTTGGTATCTGCTTCCGGTGACCATTCTTTTATGTAGGGAAAGCCGAAAAAATTAAGAAAAAAGGGGGAAAGATGACTATGGCAGAACATTTGGTGTCTTGGATCTGTTACACATCTAGACCTCACATTCCAAGTTCCCAACAACTTTTGGTTTCTCCATCTATCGTCACTTTGCAAAACCATCGCCCCAATTGTTATGACAGACATCCACTTCGATATCAATCCTTGCACCTTTCACTTGACCCTATATTCTAAGGTCGAGTCAATCATTTTGCTAACAAAATTAGCTGAATTACAATGTATTTCACCTAAAATTAGGCATCTTACCTCCCTCTCGTTCCTGACAAGGCTGTAATCGTTTTTATCTAACAACAAAATTCAATTTCCCAAATAAGGATCAACCCACATCATTGCAGTTTGGCTGTTAGGAAAGAATATTTCCTTTGCATTACGACTCCGTTCCTATTCTTCCTCTCACTTCAAACTGCTTGTAGCTGCTATATTGCATGATTAATACTGACAATAAGCAATATGGTCAAAGTTGTTGCATCCTAGATGACCGAGTAGTTCTGAAGGCAAAAGTAGCAGCGCAGATTATCATACTTCTTATCTTTTAAAGGTTATGACACTGAAGTTGGAAGAGTCTCAATGTCAGGGGCGGAGCCTGGATTGAGGATCAGGGGGAGCATCGGTTGCATACAATCCATCATACGTTCATGATTACACTTGTAAAAGCTTATCCAACTTACTAAGGTTCAACAAGCACAAGTATTGGTGATTCACGCAATCAAATTGCTTTAGAAACAAGTAAGAAACAAGGGATGTACAAGAAATGAAGAAAACATACTCTCTACACAGCTTGCTAACGGTTTTAACCTCTCTTAAAGAGCGCTTCTAACATTTCTTTTTGTCAACATATGGTTTTAACTTCACTCATACAGGGCGAGCATAACAAGTACTGAGAATCTTATGCGGTAAGAAGCATGACAAATTGACAACGACTGAAAATCTTGCCCGGTAAATGAGGTAGTTACTCTTGCCTATTTAGCGCTTACCCCATAAAAGGCGTTTATTAACAACCTTTCTATGTTGTTTTGATGGTCAAGAATCTTACCTGGTAAAGGTAAGTGAGGGTGGTAACTCCTACCCAATAAGCACTTTACCTGATTAACAGTTCAAAACGATCACTAAAACTGCTAAAGCAGTAGCACCAAGAGATTCTAAAAGGCATTAAACATTTTCTGTTTGGAACTACAACTTAGCAGGTTCGAGCTCAGATTCTACAATCCTAATGTGGCAGATTCATTAATCCTATGTAGGCCACAATAGATGATGCATATTTAATATGCAAATAGGTAATGCAACAATAACACCAATAGGTTATGTGAGAGGGGTGAGATGAAATGTAAGTGGCTGCAAATTATATATGTATATATGTATATATATATATGTATATATATATATATATATATGTATATATATATATATATATAACAGAAATTTAAGCATCAGGGGGAGCACGTGCACCTTCTGGTGCTAACGTGGCTCCGTCCTTGCTCAATGTATCATGAATATAGGAAAAAATGATGATCATACTTCCTATCTTTTCGTCGGAGCTTTTTGAATTTTTTGTGAATTGTTATGACACTGAAGTAGCAGTGTAGATGATCATACTTCCTATCTTTTCATCTCACTGTGTGTGCGAGAGCGAGATGGAAAGGAGGATGAAGGGGGAAGAATTTGCAGTCCTATGACACCCTTACCTCCCTCTTTCTTCCCTTGTACATTCTGCTCTATTTTAGCTATAAAAAAATATGCCATTCTTGATTATGCAAGAATATGACAGATTTATCACCTATAGACTAGCCTCAATAAAGCACGACAAGTAATAACACACCAAACTAAGGTATTATATCTTATTCTTTTGAATGGACTAAGATAGCTGTTTGATCTCAATCATTCAGGCCTCACTCTTACCTTTTTCAGGCCATAAACAAAACCACCAACTATTTGTTTCTAGTATCAGACAACTACCTCTACCTTCCTCTAGCATCCATTGACAGTCTTGTGGATCATAGTGATAGGGATCAACCCTCATCCAATTACCGCAGCACCACTTATATAATGATATCAAAGGCCACACAATTAGCTATCAGAATAACCATGCATCCAAATGCACCATTTTTTGGTTCCCAGAACCCCAGTGACTATCAATTGATAATTGCCGACTTCAGTATTTACTTTCATCAATTTCAAATACTCCCGGTGCATACTTCTATATCCTGTGTATGGCTGGCAGGGATGCTTCTATAGTCGATTACGTTTTCATTTGGTGGAAAGATTGCATTGGTTTTGCCATGTTCGTAGGAAACAGATGGCAATGGTGAGGAGGCTAGAAAGTGAGGTCGAGGGAGTGAGGAGAAGGGGTAGGTCGAGGAGAACCTAGAATAAGCAGTTGAGGTTCGACCGGACGGGAATGTGCAGATAGCCTAGATGAAAGGAAGGGATCTGGAGAGTTAGAAGGGGGTAAGGTTAGCGAGCATGTGAGTCTTAGGTTACATCAAGGGTTTGTAAGTTACTCCTACCTTGACTATGTTTTCTTGTACTTGCTTTTATTTGTATATTTTGTTTGTTACTGTCTGTTTGTGTGTTGTTGTTTACTCCTAACGTGTTTTCATATTTTAGCATTGCCTTCCTTATTTTCAAGTTGTTATATTCTTCTCAGCAAATTCTTTTGAGCAAGTTTTAACCTTTCTAATCGCACAATAGGCACAAGCAGGGGGACTTCAAGAAAACAGTCGCTCTACTCTTACTCTTCGAGGTACAGGTCATGTCTGCGTACATCCCCCAAGACCCCATCCCCGGGAAGCATATAACGAGTTTGTTCCTTTTGGTTTATAACGTTTTCATTTCTTTCTTGCCCGATATGTAATTATCTGTAAATCTCAAACACCAGAAAGTGCATATAGAAATAAAAAAGTTGCTAATTGAATAATCAAGCAGCTGATCTTGCTAAACACATAAAAAGGAGAATTGAGAATATGCAGACTCAGACAACTAAATAATGACGCTAATAAACCACTAACGACACAACACTTGGTTTGTAACCATTGCATCACTTCAACAAGGAAAATTAGACAGACGTAACTAATCAAGGAAAAGAATGAAGAATGATACCTTTCACTTTGGGTTTCTAAGTACAATGATGACAGAATCACCTCGAAGAAACATCTTGCTGATAAATCTGTCTTTGTTAACTGGAAGAGCCTTCTTTTTGCCTTTTCCGGTCTTCGGTACCTGACATACAAAAATCAGAAAATCAGAAAGTGCAGGATGGTGTTTGAATCAAAAGATGGAACTAAAGAATCGATACAGGTGGCAATGTAGTGGCAGGACCAACCTCGGTCCAAAACTCTCTAACATTTTCCAGCACCATGTTGCAGTGCCGATCAAACGCCCTAACACGACCTAGAAGCTTCTTGTTATTTCTGCAGTTAATAAGGACCTGGAATTGCAAGACAATGACAGCAAATTTTTTATCTAAATCGAAGAGACAAGGTGGACAGCACTGGTCTATTCAAACTGAAATCAACTACTAATATTAGGCAGTGCCCTATGAGCATGGTGTTAAAGAACTCAGCTGATGACTATTAGCTTTAGGTTATGAAACCCAAAAGAAAATTTATGGAAACATCCGTTACCTGTGTGTTATTTTTTACACTCATCATCAAGACGGAAAGGGGACCAGTGTTGAACTCCTCTTCTTCGTTCTTGGTCTGCTACAAATTTCAACATATAAGAAATACAGATGTAGAATTTAGAAAAAGTAAGCTATTCAGAATCAGATGTAGAGTTTAGAAAAATGGATTCCAACTAAAATCAAAATATTGATTCAAATCAAAAGTACTTACTTGTCCATCTTCCTCCATCGGCCGACTGCAAAAAGAAAAACAAACGATTAGTATCAACACTTGGAATTTAAATAGCGAAAGTAATTTAACCATCTAGGGTTTGCTTGAACGCAGGTATATAAGCAATGTATAATGAAAAATTACCTCATGTTCGATATACAAATAACTGAAGAAGACTGAAACCGAGGTAGGCGAAAAATAAATCTGAAAGCAGGAGCAAAGCTAGGGTTTAGGGTTTATGGCAGTGATTATAAAACCCTAATGAAAAATGCGAATACGAGTAGATGGAACTAAGAAGTTGCACCAAGTATTGAAGAAAGAGAAATGCAAATGCTGATGGAAAATCAAATGATGAAATTCGAAAAACTTGTGGAAGCGGTACCTGTTTGAACGCGGAAAGATGGTGAGGGAGACCGTAGAAGAGGATCGCTGTGCCTTGTGGCAAGAATGTTATTTATAGGGACGTGACCGCCTTTATAAGCACGGGTTAGGCATGGTGAGTTGCCCCAACCAGTAAAAGCGGATACGGTCTTAACTCTAGGGATCCTCGACATGTTGAAAACCGGGGTCGGATCAGTGCGCATCCAAAAAATTTTATTATTGGGGGCAGGATGTCAAAAATATTCTGAAACCGAATAACTCTTTCGAACCAATACGATTTTGGGTTATTTATTAGTATTAGAGCAAACATAACAAGAGAGAGAAAACATATTATATTTTTCAATAAATTGTGATTGTTTTTTTTAGAAAAGTAGTTGAATCGTAAATTGACTGGGATGGATCGAGGATAGGCCCAACAAAAACCAGGGAGGGGATCTGGTTCACCGTACCCGTCGGGTCTTAGGACGGGGATGAGATAGTGGAATCGCAATTCCCAGGTCTATTGGCATGCTTAGTGCGGGTAGAGGTGTAAATGATACGAGACAACTCACGAGCTACTCGAGATCGATTCGGTCAAAGCTTGGTCAACACTCGACTTGGCTCGATATATTAACGAGTCGAGTCAAGCTACCCAATACTAGACTCGAAAAGCTCATGAGATATCGATTATTTTATCTATAATTAATTTTAAAATATAATCAGTTTTTATGATAAATTTGTAAAATATAAGTAATAAAAATGTCTTATATCATTAGGTATTTAAACAAAATTATGCATTTTTTAATAATAAAAATTAATCAGTTATCTTTTTATTAAACTCGCAATTAAAAAAAGACAAGGAAAAACTATGAAAAAAAGAATGAAATTGTCCCACATTGGAAGATAAATGGTAGAGGAAGAGAAAAAAAGATGTTATAAAAAGAGTGGGAGGTGAATGAAATTTCTAACTTTGTCTTATGAAGTTTGAAGTTGATCCCTTTAGTTTTATAAAAACTCAGAGATTATCTTTAAGTTTTTAATATAATAGAAAAAGACCCTAAAATTTCATAAAATTTAATGGGTGAGGTTGGTTTGAACTTGATTTGAATTCGAGTTTGAGTTCAAGCTTGATTTGAGTTGTAGTTCGAGTTTGATTCGAGTTCGAGTTCGATCTTGAGAAATAATTATCAAGTTCTAGTCGAGCTTTGATTTTTATTACTCACGAGTTTTCGAGTTGAGTATAATGATACTCGAGCTTGACTCGCATCATTTACACACCCCTAGGTGCAGATGATGAATCTAGAGGATTTTTGGATTAAAATCACTAAATTATAATAGCACTGTACAAAAAAAAAAAAACCCAATCAAATCGTCAATTTGTTCAACTCAACTTGAAAAATAGACCGACTAACTCAATTCAATCTAGCATAAGGTCTAATTCATTCATAAACATATACAAACCGATGGTAGCAGGGTCGATTATAAGTTAGGTCCATGTCAAATCAAACTAACTTGTACAAAATTATAATAATTAAAAAAACTCATATTATTAATTATTAAATATCTATTAATATTAAACGTCAAAACAAACTAACCTGTACATAGTTCATTGAATGAAATTTCTACTGATCCAGTTAACTTTTGTTTTTTTAACCGTAGACAATATGAATAAACTCGAGGTTACGGTTAGGCAACATTGGTGTAAGAAAAGTGGAAAACGTTGTTGATCGATCATTGTCGTTTTAATTCAACGTTCTTATCAGAACATGTATCTTGACATTTATGTTTAGACAAGTTGACATAAACTTGGATGATTATAATATTTTCAAGTGGTTGATTATGGACCACTGATATTTGTTTTTTTTTTTATTGACATATAATATAATCATCTTTTTAAACATGCATTCAAACAATCCAACTCAAACCGACATCTAATGAATTGAATTGGATTATAAACAGGAGGCCGAATGATTTGTGTTTTCTCATACTAAAATAGTTGGATTGGATTTTTAATAGTTAAAATGGTCTCAAATCACCTTACCAACCCATGAGTACCTTGGGTGTATGCTAAAGCTGATCATTTGCGGGTTTGAATTGAATCTGGGTCGTGCTTAACCTATTTGTTGTCCAACGGGCTTAATATGGTAAAAACAATCCCGTTTTTATGGGCTTGAAAACTTACCATACCTGCTCTATAAACGGTCTGGACTTGCCTACATGCTAACAGACTTAAAAATCTTGTTATATTTATGAAAACAAAACTTATATAAAATCACAAATTATGTAAAATAATTCAAAATACGCAACATTTTTTCCAACTTAAAATTTGACTTAAATACATAACAATATACATACTTTAAAAAGAAATTGTTTCGCTAAATATGAAATATTGATAAAGAAAATGACTAAACGAGATAATAAAGAATTAATCAATCGAGGTAATTATATTTTGAAATTTAAGATTTTTATAGAATGATATTATCATGAGTCATGATTAAGTAGGAATTGATAAGTATTAAGAATTTTCAGTTTTATTTGTAAATTTTAATTATAAAATTAATTAATGAGTCTGGCGGGCCTGCCAAGTATTTTTTTTTTCATTGTCCATGTCCGTCCATTAACTTTTAACAAGTCAGTCCAGGCTCACTCATTTATTCGAGAATGGTAATCCAAGCCCGCTTTCTCTAGCAAGCAGGACAGGATGGATCTAACAGGTCATCCCGCCCCGCGAACAACTCTAATGTATACACCTGTTATAATTCTTGAATTTTAGTAGATAAATTACATTAACATATAATCAAACTTCGGTTTTGTTTCTATTTTAAAGAAAATATCTTAAAATCTTTAAAAGTTCACAACTCATCATGTTTAAGGTAATTCACATTGCCATTATTGTTATTATAAGAATGGATTGGTATAGATATAATCGATGATGATTGATGCTAATTCCATTTCCATTTCGAAGGGGAAATTGGGGTACACCTTACACGTAAATTCTGTAAGTCATGCAAGCTGCTCGAAACCTTGTCCGCTATCGAAAATATTAATAAATCAAACAGAAATTCAAAACTAAACAATCAACTCAAAATGCCACTATTCCGTGGTAGAGGTGGTCGTGGCAGTGGCACCAATGTTCTTTTGATCGCCAAATATGCGTTGCCTGAAGTCTGAAACCATCATAGGGAGACCTTTGCGTAGTGGCACCTTGGGTTTCCATCCCAAAAGTTCTTTAGCCTTTGTGATATCTGGCTTCCTTTTGTGTGGGTCGTCTTCTGTGTTTGGCCTGAACTCTATTTTCGCATTCGGGTCTATTGTCTCCTGAACAACCTGTCGATAATCACAAACCGTCAATGAGTAAACAATTTTGAATATAAAAAACCTTACAGTAATTCACGTAAAACGATGAACGAAATTAAGGAGATACCTGGGCGAGTTCGAGCATGGTGAATTCACCAGGGTTTCCAAGATTGAAAGGTCCGACATGTTCTCCTTCCATCAATCTCATTAGACCTTCGACCTTACAAATTCAAACAAACTCAAAACCATAACAATAGTTCTACTCTTATAAATAGAATACATTGAGTTCATTTGGTTTGATTTGAAAAGGTAAAAAGATTCTATTTAGTTTGAACAAAAGGACAATATCTTAAAACATAGGCAAATTCGTCAAAATAGCCAATCTGCTCAACCAACTCCATTTTTTTGCCACTTTTAGAACTAAATTCTTATTTTAACTAGAGTTTACGCAAATAACTAGAACTTTTTTTTTTTTTACCAAAAGGCCTTTGGTCTAGGGGTATCGTAGTCTTTGGCTTCCTAGGAGGTCAGAAGTTCAAACCTCATCAAAGGTGAGGAGAATATGTGAGTTACTTTGTTGCATTTGACTTATATAAATATTATATATTTTAAAAATAAATATAAAATCTTTTGAAAAATCACCATTTAGCATGGTTTCGACAACATTTTCATACATAAGTACAATAATTGACCTAGGACATAGATTGGCCCATCCCCAAAAGTAATGATATCAAGAATAAAGTATTAAATACAATACTCCTACCATGACAAAATATTAAATAGAAGAGATATCATAAATGACAAGATATTAAATAGAACGGTCATATTATTCATAAACACAACAAAGATAGAAAACTAACCAAATCCGAAACGAATTGGAAACTTCTTGTTTGCTTGCCGTCACCATAAACAGTCATCGGTTCTTTTCTAAGTGCCTGCGTCGTTTATGAATCAATATCAAAAACAGTTTTACGTAATAACTGAATACACATATCCTTTTGGTGAAACCCACCTGAGCAACAAAGTTACTAACAACACGACCGTCATCGATGCACATCCTTGGACCATATGTATTGAATATCCTTGCAATCCTCACCTACATATGATTTACAATTCTAAAATGATAACATCATATTTGATTTAATTATAAACGAAAATACCAAATCAATTAAAGCCATAAATCCCATAAAAATAAGATATAAAAGGGTAAAATGTATACAAATCATTCTTCTTGCTCTGAGATCCGGACTATCCTACCCCTTCTAATTACAAAGAATGGTATTCTTGCAAAAATGTCAAATAATTGGATAATTATAAATAAAATTTAGGATTATGTTAGACCAACTGCTTTTGTGAGAGTATAAAATAACACTAAACCTTGTGAAGATTAAAAATACACCGAACCTTAATAACAAAAACACTGTGAAGACTTGTTTTTATACCTACACAATGTTTTTGTTGTGATAGTTAAGTGTGTTTTTATGATTCACAAATGCTCTTACAAAAACTAGAGGTACCAAGTTTTTTTCTCCAACATCATGTACCAACCAATTATAATTGGTACGCAAAATCATATACCATGACCAACCAACAATATTTGGTATCATCTTTTTTAATTGGTGCATGTTGGTACCGGCTTGTACCAATTTCAAGTTATATACAGAAAACTTACAATTTTGTTCAAATGTTCAAACAAAAAAAAAATTAAAATTACATTGTTTAACATTTAGTACATCAAATTTTATAAAAAAACTAATATATAATTAAATAAATCGGTATCATGATACTACTCTGGTTCAAGATTTCCAATACTATGTATCAACCAAGGTTTCATAATTAGTACGACATACTATCAACCGACTGTAATTAATATAAATCTAATTAATACAATTGGTATATATCTTGATCGATTTAATTGGATACAAAATTATCTGAAAACAGGTGTGATGTAACATAAACCCAACCGTTTGTAACCATAAATAAATAGTGGAAAGTAAACAGAGTATTAGACGACTTTTTTTTTTTTGGGTTGGAAACCATTTCTGCAAAACGTGGTTGATAAAAAAATATTAAAATTTTATGATTGAAAAGTATTTTAATTGTGGTTGGGACCTACAAATTTTAGGCAGAAAAAAACTAAGCCAAAGTAAGAAAACAGACCTCGACCCCAGCACCTCTATGGTAGTCCATGGTCAACGTTTCTGCTGTACGCTTTCCCTCATCGTAGCAGCTTCTGACACCTGTCAACAAAAAGTACCAAATTCCAATTTCTTCGTCAAATCTTAAGGAAATTATTAAATTACTCATTTTTAAATTGATTTTTCATTTTAGACAAAGTCTATGCAAATCAATGTTTCTTTCGTGTATTTACATAAATCATGTTTTCATATTTAACAAAAGAAAAAAAAAATTAAGTAAATAAAAATCAAGCAAATTCTTTACCTAAAAGCATCTTCAACAAACGAAAAAAACAAGAATTTTGAGGTAATTTTTTACTCCAACAGTTTTTTCAAAACTATCTCCGAAACGAAGAAAGTAAAGGCAAAGAAAAGTTTTTCCTTCAAATATAAAGTTAATAAGAAAACTTTAAAAATAAATATTTAAATAAAATTTTAATATTTTATTAGATAAATGAAATATTTTAATATTATAAACAACGTTGGATTCTCGAAAACGAGGAATTTGTCGAAGTTGAAATTTTTTGGAATTATTTGTTGAAAATGTTCTTTAAGTAAATTTACCTAAAGATTTTTTTTCTTTTTATAAATCTATAAACTCTTCGTTCAATTGAAAAATATCAAAAAGTGACTTTGATTGGAAAAATCAGCTATTTTATTATATTTCCAATCGTTTTTCTCGGATTCATAAATTCATCCCCGTTTTGCCCCCTCAAATCGCCTAAAATTTACCAAATTAACAAGTTCAGGAACCAATCAGAGACCCGCCAATGGTGGTTTGAACATTGACTGTCGAATCCCTGATCAGATCTGATTACAGTTACGTACGATTCGTAATCTAAAGAATTCAGGCACATTTGTCGCCGGATTGGCGGTGACCGGAAGAAACTAACAAGTCGGTGCCTAATGGTGGATGGGTACCTTTACCAATGTAGATGAAAATAGAACTCACCAATAGGATTCACGTTTCCCCAATAGGTTTCGACTTGTGGATGTTGTAGAGGATCACCGTAGACCTCACTGGTGCTCGTTAGCAAGAACCGTGCACCGACTCTTTTTGCCAACCCTAACATGTTCAATGTCCCCACTACATTCGTCTTGTGAGAAATCAAAATTGTAATTAAGGATTCACAAACAGAAATTAGTAACCAAAATATGAATGATTGAAGTTAACATAGTGATGAAAATTGAAAAGCGAGTAATTAAGGATATGATTGTTTTGACTGGATTGTATTTGTAATGAACAGGTGAAGCAGGGCAAGCAAGGTGATAGATCTGATCGACTTCGAGTAGTAACGGCTCCACAACATCATGTCGAATAAGCTCAAATCTAGGGTTTCCAAAATGATGCATCACGTTATCCTTATTCCCGGTGAAGAAATTATCAACAACAATCACGCTATCTCCCCTCGCAATCAACCGATCAACGAGATGACTTCCGACGAAACCTGCACCACCAGTCACCACAATCCTTAACCCCTTCCGTTTCAACCCTAACGGAATCTTCCCGCCCAAATTGAACGAATCGAATCCAGTAGGATACACAGATCGTCGTGGATTCATCATCTGGACCGCCTCGGAGACGGAGTAAGCATCGGTAATACGACCGGAGGAGATGGTGGTTGCAGAACGGAGCCCGAAGAAGACGGTGGCGATGGCAATACCAACGAGGATGAAAACAAGACGTTGTTCCTTGAGCATGTAGCGAACAACGCGAGTAACGGCCGGCCATGGCTTCTTAAGCTTCGGTGAGTAAGAATCCGCCATGGATTGAGTTTCGTGGCCTCTATATGTCAACTCAGATCCCATCTTCTTCTTCTTGTTTCTCTCTCTATATGTATAGGTAGAGCGAGAGAGAGAGAGTGGTGGAGGGAAAGTGGGGAGGATTATATAAGGCTGTGAATGTGATGGTGTAGTGGCGGTGGTTTAAATTTTCCGGTAGGTGGCGGGGATCATGGAACTATAAAATATTGATCGGCCTACTAGAAATTACGATATTGACCTTGCAGATGTGGTCTCAAAAGTAAACGGTAGGTGCTAAGTAGGAGAGAGTTGCCGAAAGTTTTTGTGTGGCATTTTTGGAATTTACACAACTGACGCTTGGATTAAAAAATAAAAAAATAGATTTCAAAATTAAGAAGAAAAATCAAAAATTTAAAATGAAATTTACGTTTATAATATTTTTTATATTTTATATTATATTATTAAAATAATATAATAATATAAAAATAATTCTCTCTTTTCTTTTTATTTGTATCTTTATAGGTTAGAGTTTTTTTTTTGGAAAAGTCTAAAAAAATCTAATGAGCTTTAATATTTGGAATAATTAAGTTTTTGGACAATTTTTTGGAACAAATAAGTCCTTAGACATTCTAAAACATGTTAAATAACATATTGGACAATTTTTTGGAACAAATAAATCATTAGACAATCCAAAACATGTTAAATAACTCATTAAATTTTTCTAAAACCGGTTAGATACATTCTTATTACATGTACAACTAATTAATATGGTAAAATAGTGAAAAAAGTCGAAAAAAACCCCAATGAACATTCAGATTTTAAACGATTAAGTCCCTAAACATTTTTTGAACAAAAAAGTATTTAGATCTATAAAATTAAACAAATATAACAAAAAAAATACTTACATTTAAAAAAAATTACATTTAAAAAGATTTTTGATAAAAATATATTTAGTCAGTGATTTTTCAAACTAAAAAAATAAAAAAAATTATAAAAAATTATTG